AGAATACAGAAACGACACAAAGCCTTAGACTGATCCATGCCAATTCAATGGAGAAAAAACTGCCATTTGTAGGAACTGTTTCCAAGTACAAGCAAAAATAAAGCCTTTTTATACCACAAACTATTTACCTATCTCATTTTCCTCATCTCCTCGGCATTGGGCCGGTTGAAGATGATGGACGCGAGCAATTTCTGTAACACGGCRAACATGCAAATCACTTTTAGTGTCTCTCCCTCAGCAGTTTCCCCCCACGGTCCTCTAGATTGCAGCCTCTCGTTCTAATTGTTCCCAAACATCTCACACCAGCACAGAGAGTTAATTGAGAACCAGAGACGCTGATCTCCCATGATGGAGAACCTTGCATAAACGAGCATTTCCAGAGTGACTAGCCACATYAAATTGCCCAGAGTAAACAGGGAAAAACTGAAGCAAAAGCTGTGTAAAAGCTCTTAATGTGATTACACATTAAGAGCTTTAAAACATCAAGGTTACAGACGTGACTAAACGTTGCAGAAAATTTTATTATCACCTGAACTGAAATCATCAGCCCCCCACCAAAAAAAGTCTTTCAATTTTTACATTGAAAAGACTTTTTTTAAGTTGCTATTTTTAGCAACTTACTAAAATCTTTAATAAGAACAGGTTTTATATTAAATTTCAGTATTTTGATAAATTAAATACTGTATTTGAGCAACCTCAGTTTGGAGTCATGATTARTTTTCATCAAAGACTAACAAGCTAATGACTAGTTTGCTAAAAACTAAWGTGAAAAGCTGCCGTTTTGAAATAACTCCAGTCTAAAAAAACTTGATGGCTGTTCAAATGAACACTATTTTAGGTACTTTTATACCTCAAGTTAATTTTAAATTAGTTTTTCAGGCAGAAATATTCAAAATTCCTGGCTGTAGTGCCCCTGGATAACCTGGAAATGCTACTGATAGCTTAATGCTATATATGTGCTCGTAAATAACCAAAACTGAACGGGCTGCAAAATATGACCCAAACMGAATGTAAAGATTTCTTTGCACCRRGAGAGATTAGATAAAACTTTTCTAGAGACTCCACATACACAACAAAATGTATTTATTGGTATTTMAGTCGATTTTGCATGATAYGTCCCTTTAARGTGACCAAATTTCTGCATTTAAATTCAGGGACGTTTCCAGCTTGAAGATAAGTAATAAATATTTGTTACCAAGATAAAGAAAAGGAGACAAGTTAGTCATTCATTTATACATGTTGTAGAGACTTTGCTAGTATCTATCTATCTATCTATCTATCTATCTATCTATCTATCTATCTATCTATCTATCTATCTATCTATCTATCTATCTATC